CATTTCTACATTGGTCATTAACTTAACACACACTTCGTTGAAATAAATGGCAATTAATAATTTATGAATTCAGCAGTCTGTTATTGTTTTTTTGTATGAATTTTACAGTGGCTCTGTCACAGTTTGCAGAGCCGGGAAACGTAGCGCCGCTGTCAGCCACGGGTCAGACTGAGCCAGCATGTGTGCTGCTCAGAGGCTGTTAGAGCTGCTACCATCACACCTAGATCATCCATCACTGCCATGGCTGAGGATGCAGAAATTAACTAGACTCTCATTGTTTTCCTTCGTCTCAGACTCCCAGGCTCTCTTTCTTCTTTTCTCTCTTCCTCCCTGTCGCCTAGGCCTGCTTCTCTGCTTTTTGTTTGGTTTTGTTCCCCCTGATGTGTGTTTTTTTTAGGGGTCTCTATGCTCTTGTGCCCAGTTATTCTTCTCCACTGTGATTTTGTTTTTCTTCTTGTGAGGTTCTTACAGTATTATAACCTTGCAGAGTTCCATCCAGAGCTGCACAATGTATATTGAATCACAAAGGTCATGATTACAATGAAGTGCTTGGATGAAACATCCTCCATTGCTAATGATGCAAATATTTTTAGGCTTACTAGTAGGGTGAGTATTGGCATGGGTGTTGTGATACGATACGTGTCCCCATACGTGGATCACAATACGATATTAACCCTATATTGCATGGTCACCATATAAATCGAATTAAATGTATAGATAAAAAAGCAACCTCTATATGTTCATCAGATAATATTGATCGTTCACTTATTTTGGTATCCATGTGTCTTTGAGTTTGAGTCGGACCACGTCTTTCACTGTGGCTGCCTCAGTTACAGATATAGCGCTGCGCCGCACAGCAAAAGGGCTCCACAGCGCTATCTACCGGAGTGGCGGTACAAAGGTAGCCCATTTTCCCTCAGTTTTAGGTAAAAATGTTTTGCTTTAAAAAAAATTTATACTAGGAACTAAAAGATTGATATTATATCAGGCAGCCAAAAATCATGGTATATGGCCTAAATGATTTTTTTCTCACACCGCTACTTACTAGAAAGCTTTTTACTGCTTTTAATGCTCAACACTTCATCTGCACTCTAGTAGATAATAATAAATTAATTTCTCCCGGATTTAATGTCAACTCATGAGACTCAGAGGTTAGAGAAAAATGCACACTTATTCAAAAAATCTATTTAAACATTTAACCGCTCTGTGACCTGTAAGACCAATAAGTATAACAAACTCAGACTGAATTCTAATTGAAAAATTAAATGTAGAACATTCAAACTAGTTCTGATTGAACAAGTCTGAAGCCTCCTTCAGCTTAATGCTGTTTTATTTGTCGAAGATACAGATAAACATTTTTTTTAAATACTGAAGTCTAAGGGGTAGGAACCTTTTAGGCCTGTGTCAAATCGACCAGTATATGATTCAAAAGAATAAGATATTAATCTCTGATCCCCCATCCAGTGTATGCATCAGTATTTTATTTAATCAGTATTTAAAACTAAATCCTTCTTAATAATCAGTTTTCTCCACGATATTATGACTACTTCACACCATGTATTTGGAGCGCAAAGCTGCAGAGCAAAAAATTTGATGTTCTTTTTACATAAGATTTGTTGGGAATGGCTTTTATCACTCGATATTAGGACGTTTGTTGGCCGTGGACAGGAATGCAGGGAGGATCCATCACACTCACCATTTCACTCACCCTATAATGGGGATTTAGTCTAAAGCAGTTCATAAGGTTTCCTCCTGTGAACCCCCTTTTTATACCAAAATGCTGCCAATACACCATTATACAGTAGCTTTAAGTTAGAAACACGTTCAGCGGTTGTCTGGAACACGTCAAATACTATAAATATGCGTTGGAGAGCTATGCACAAGTTAGGCCCCGTCCACACGAAGTCAAAACGAACACGAAACGCTAATATTTTCCAGAACGTTTGTTGTAAAGAAGGAGACATAAAATAAATGTGATCGTCCACACGAATGCATGAAAACGCTGCAAAATGTATGCCAGGCCTGTAAGTGGCGCTGTGGTGCCAAAGCAAAAATGGGCGAAAACAGGCAACGAAATGTTGGGCATGCGCAGTAATATTTATACATGGTTGCCCTGCGGGTCCATTTTCGTGCTGCAGTCAAATTCAGGTGCTGAACTATGTCGTCAATATTGCTCTGTTCTTCCTGGAGATATTCCAGAAGAAGAAGATTCTGTTGTAAGCCCGACAGCAGGGTGAGTAGCATGAGCAGCAACCATTCAACACAGTACGACGCCATTGTTGTTGTGATACTGTGTCGCGCATGCGTGTTTAGAGGCGACGCTATGACGCATGCGTGTAAGAAAAAAAAATGCGGTTAGAGCCTAAAGATGGAAACGCGAAAACGCCGTTTCAAAATCTTCCCACTCTGAAGGCTTAATAAAAAAAAGATCGTTTACAGACCCCCGAAACGCCGGCTTCGTATGGATGAGGGGCTGGTTTGGTGAAAAATTTGTGCGTTTAGACCAGGGTTTGACTTTGTGTGGACGGGGCCTAACTCATAGGTTTTGGATAAGCTAGACACAACGACTTATGAGTACCTTACACTTAAGGTATCTCAACGAATAGATAACTTGCCTGTGACTTATGTCCCATGTGTGGCATAAGTTAGAGGTAAGTTGACCGTATGTCGACGTGTGCCAGGGTGATTTAGCGTACTCATAACTTATACTACACATACCCATAACTTATCTTACGCATGCCATTGTTTTTGCCAGGTTTTTCGTACGTCAGGAATACGCTGGTCTAAATTGCCACGGTGTTACAATGGCTTGAGGGTGTGCTTGTCTTTCCCCACAGTCACCTGTATGAATATATCGCCATTTGTTGGACTTATCGCTTGGAAACTTGTTACATATCACCCAACCTTATCAAGCACTGTCAATGCTCTGCTTTTCATGGAGTAACACACAGTAAAATAAGACCACATTAATTGGTTAATTAGCTGGGTAGAACTGACCTAACAGACATGTCTGTCTAATAAGCGTAATAGCTGATCCTCTGGAGGTTTCTACACCCTGCTTGTATTTTCCAGCAAGGACAAAAGGTTGGGTTTGTCTTGTTTGATTCAAAGGTAAAGTGTGGCTGCTTTGTTTTTATTTAGTTTTTTTTTTCTAGACAGCTGGCAGCAGCACAAAGGAGTATGTCAGGGACTGACTCTGTTCTGTACTTTCTAACCATCTAATCTGTAACACCTAACATGTAATCTGAGGTTTTGAAGTTAAAAGGATCTGAGGTTTTGCTTAGCAGTGCTTTTAGAATGACAGACAGAAAATGTCCACATCATTTTCTATATAAAAGACATGCGTTTGTGATGTTGAGTAAAGACTTTTTATTTACTGCATGAGCTGGACGTTCTGCATTAAGTCTTTCCCCGCTACTGCTGCTAAAGCAGACACTTGGCAAAAATGCTTCAACCAATTGACATATTAAGAAGCCTCAGGCTGGTCAATTTATCCACACAGGACCCCTCTGAGAGGGAGCCCAGCAGGTAGATGCTTTTCTACGGTCTTTGCTTAATGGCTCTCAACCCTTCCAGGCTCAGCAAGTGATGTTTGGAGAACACTTGACAACCCTCGCCAAGTAGGTATTGGAGAGGGGCTCCACTTGGCTTCTCTTGTATCCTCTTGTCTACTCATCTCATCATGGTGCCCCAGGCGATCTCTTAATTAGGCTCCTTAATGGGGGAGTTTCTGATTCTGCTGGTGGATTTTGAACACTCTCTGTTCCTGATTTGTGTGAGAGCCTTATAAGATGTGAGGAGATGGAGACAGAGGAGCTGTACGCCCAGAGCAACAGGAAAGCATTAACCTCCATAGAGTTTTTTTCTTCACATTTTGATCCTTCAAACCAAACTTTTTCTATAACCTGTTTTGATTGTTTATCACAAAGTTATGATATGATCGTAATACGAAAGTGAAATAATATATGGGTTTAAAGCTGTTATTCTTTTTTCTGCAGTTACTGAAAACCTAGAAGCTGAGATTGAACAGTGAGCTTAGTGGAGATTATGTCTGGACTTTGAATGAGCCAGTGATTAAAACAGTGATAGAACTTACAGTGATGGTTATTTTCAGAAACTCTGCGTTAAATTTTGCTTTCTTTTCAAATAGGTTGCAGTTTGAAGTGGAGCCAATTGATATGATTTCTAAGTTTTTGTATTAAACAGCTTTTGGGGAATGTTTTTGACTTAATGAGACTGATTAAAGAAGAAGGTTGCAAGTTGTACTGGGTAACACGTTTGTGGTCTCGAGCTGTTCATTGGCAGGACCCGTCTCTATCTAATCTATCTAATCTAAATGGATCAAAAAGTCAAACTTTACCATCAGTTTTGCAAAAAAGATTTAGAAATCCAGCTTTCCATTATCAGTCTCTGTAAACTATGTTTTAAGCCCCTTGGCAAAATTTCTCTTATCCAGTTTGTAGACTTGTGTTAGTTTATATTTAAAGAAAGTAAGTCTTAGACAGTGTGAGTCCACTGCTTTTGATTCTTTTCTCATAAACTTAATTTTTTTTGTTCAATTTTCATCTTATCATTTTCCTCCCTGCTGATCTTTGTCTCCAGTTCATATTAGAACAAACTCCTATGTACAGATTTTACAAGGCTGTTTGTCACATAGTAGTCCACATTTTACAATATATTCAAGAAATATGATGTTCTGTGTGATAAACAGCTTTTTTTCTTTAAATTTGCTTTTGAGACTGATCTGCTAACAATTTCTTTTTCTGATGTTCCTTTTAGTGATGCAAACAAAACAAAATATTTCCATTATCTAAAAATAGACCTAATAACAGGCATCAGAATGTTACTACAACAATAGACGAATCTTTCAGAGTTGAATGAATGTGTTGGATGATCCCCAGTTGGCAGAACCGTCTGTTTGAATACAGGTCAAAGTTTTTTTTTATCTCTTCTCACTTTGTGCTCTCTGTCTCTCTGCTTGTCTCCTTCACTTTTTACAGACATGCCCGTATTTGGTCAGTGTCCCGCGCAGGACGACTTCTACCTGGTGATGTGCAACCACTGTGGTCATGTGGTCAAGCCACAAGCCTTCCAAGCACACTACGGTGAGTGTTACCAAAAACAGCTGCTTGCAGCTGTGCAGCCTATGAGTCATATGGCTTATAAAGTTTCTTTTTTGAGTTTTTTTTATTTATTTTTTATCCATGTTTTTATGTTGCCGTTAAAATTAAAACTCTAGGTTGGTGCTTATTTCTTCAGATTCCAATGTACATTTTTTTAACAGCGGAACAACGTACACAAATTTGCTTCTTGTATTTACTTGGATACATTTTTCTGTTGATGAATAAAAACAATCGGTTCTAAAGTCAGAATTATAGAATGATTTTGCAAAGATGTTCCTGTCCAGGGCTGTCGTATTAACGGCTTGATCAACACTTTGGACATCATGGAGAAATTTGCTGGTTGACCATATTGTTTTTTAAAAGGAGTGTTAAGATGAAGGTCAGGAGTAACATGCAAAAATGGATCAGCGGAGAGGTTTGAGGACTATGTTTAATAAAAAAAACTCAGAGTTGCTCCTGCTGTGTCTCGCTTCTTCCTATCAATATTTGATAAATCTACCGTTTCAGTGTTCGTATTCGTTGGTAGTTACTTCTCAGTGCCTTTTATTCTTTCTGAAGTGTCACAGCAGTGAGTCTTGTCAAGGTCAGCCACAAGGGGGAAGCAAAGTAGTTGCAATGGTCTTGCAGCAATTACCTTTACAATTATATTACCAACACTGTGTAGATCTATATAGTCTGGGTTTTATTTATAACATGCTTTCATTCATTGATTGGCTTTTAATCCTGTCACGGAGGTTTCTAATTGAGACGTAGAGGAGAAGTCGGAGGATAGCACCCTGTCAGAAAGTTAAAACCATACTAGTAGGTGACTGACATGCAGAAAGATCATTGTGATTTTGTTACACAGACTCAAAATCTGATTCATAGATAAAAAAAAATGTCATAATGAGTTGTCACAGTGATTTCTGTATGTTTTATACCTTTTTTGGGTTTAGTTTTGCAGTGATGATTCACATAATGCACCAGTCAGAATACAAGCCATCTGGTTTAAATCCCTCATTGTAGCTTTCCAGGAGCTGAAGATTCCCCCTGCAGTAGTTAGAGCGAGCTCTTATTATTTGCGGCTTTTTAAAATCTCAGTTTTTCCTCTAGATTCTTAATGTTGTGTTTTGATCAAATATAATTCAAATCAATTTCAGCTCACATCTTTGTTTCAGCTCTGCAGCAAGGAGTCAAATTAAAGCTCAGTGTAACCATACATGGCCATAAAGATGAGCAGCTCTCCTGGTAGCCTTTACTCCATATTCTCCTTCCAGATGTCATTCTGGGGAGTCCCAGTACGGTGTTTACGCTAGACCAGAAACCCTGATCTCATTCTAAATGGTGAAAAAGTGGCCTGTAATTGTATTGTGACTTTTCAAGTCAGGCGACACAAAGTATTCTACATTCAGTCATTTACAGTCATATACACTCACCGGCCACTTTATTAGGTACGCCATGCTAGTAACGGGTTGGACCCCCTTTTGCCTTCAGAACTGCCTCAATATTTCGTGGCATAGATTCAACAAGGTGCTGGAAGAATTCCTCAGGGAGTTTGGTCCATATTGACATGATGGCATCACAGTTTCTGCAGATTTGTCGGCTGCACATCCATGATGCGAATCTCCCGTTCCACCACATCCCAAAGATGCTTTATTGGATTGAGATCTGGTGACTGTGGAGGCCATTTGAGTACAGTGAACTCATTGTCATGTTCAAGAAACCAGTCTGAGATGATTCCAGCTTTATGACATGGCGCATTATCCTGCTGAAAGTAGCCATCAGAAGTTGGGTACATTGTGGTCATAAAGGGATGGACATGGTCAGCAACAATACTCAGGTAGGCTGTGGCGTTGCAACGATGCTCAATTGGTACCAAGGGGCCCAAAGAGTGCCAAGAAAATATTCCCCACACCATGACACCACCACCACCAGCCTGAACAGTTGATACAAGGCAGGATGGATCCATGCTTTAATGTTGTAGACGCCAAATTCTGACCCTACCATCCGAATGTCGCAGCAGAAATCGAGACTCATCAGACCAGGCAACGTTTTTCCAATCTTCTATTGTCCAATTTCGATGAGCTTGTGCAAATTGTAGCCTCAGTTTCCTGTTCTTAGCTGAAAGGAGTGGCACCCAGTGTGGTCTTCTGCTGCTGTAGCCCATCTGCCTCAAAGTTCGACGTACTGTGCGTTCAGAGATGCTCTTCTGCCCACCTTGGTTGTAACGGGTGGTTATTTGAGTCACTGTTGCCCTTCTATCAGCTCGAACCAGTCTGGCCATTCTCCTCTGACCTCTGGCATCAACAAGGCATTTCCGCCCACAGAACTGCCGTTCACTGGATGTTTTTTATTTTTTGGACCATTCTCTTTAAACCCTAGAGATGGTTGTGCGTGAAAATCCCAGTAGATCCGCAGTTTCTGAAATACTCAGACCAGCCCTTCTGGCACCAACAATCATGCCACGTTCAAAGTCACTCAAATCACTTTTCTTCCCCATACTGATGCTCGGTTTGAACTGCAGGAGATTGTCTTGACCATGTCTACATGCCTAAATGCACTGAGCTGCCCCAATGTGATTGGCTGCTTAGAAATTAAGTGTTAACGAGCAGTTGGACAGGTGTACCTAATAAAGTGGCCGGTGAGTGTATATGTCATATATATATATATGTGTGTGTATATATATATATATATATAAAGGGATGGAACGGTTTTTAAAAACTGTCCGAAACGTTCTGTTCGACTGTCTCGGTTCGGTTCGCGCGTGTTGCGTTCGGTTCATGCGCTGCTCCTTTTTCTCATAGGCGAAGCGTTTACACTCCAGAGCAGAAGGTGGCGGTACTGCGACCAAAGCCAACCACCAGTAGTAACAAGAAGAAGAAGCGAAGCAGCGTAGCCGGGTGTAGCAGAAAAAAATCAGTTGTTGTGGAGAATTGTGTGGGAAAGAACAGGAGTTGGAAGATGCGCCAGCAGCACTTTATAGTGACCTACGAGGGGTTGACGTTAAGGATTTTTACCACTTGCCCTTTGGGCAAGTGACTTTCACATTTCATTTGCCCAGAAACAATTTTTACTTGCCCAGTATATGTTTGAAAAATATAGTTCCTAATATTAGTTTTTGTATATATATCAATGAAACATGTTTGTTTTTTAAACGTTTTTTGTAATTCAGTATTTTTTAATTTTACAGGTTCCTGGTGTGTATATGCATGCCTCAGATAATGAACTCAAGCCTACATTACCGTTTTAACATGCCTTTCAATCCTTCCTGCACATTCTTTTCAAACTAAACTTTGCTTTAAACTGTTGTGTGCTTGGGAAAAATACAAATTGTAATGTTAAAAATCTAATAAAAAAAAAACTTGACAGGTTAAAAACTTAAGATAAATCACAAGATAGAAGTCAATTTCACAAATAAATAACTTATTTTAGAGTCACAGTATGTTTATACAAGATAATACTATTAATATAATGTGACTTTTCTAGAGAATCATTATACAGTTATTTTATACAGGGTTTCCACAGTCTTACATAATTTCAGAATTCCCTGACTTTTAACTGACTCAGGATTAGTTTTCCCTGACAAAATAAATGCAGCAACAAGACAATAATAATAACATAACAGGTCACCAATTTAACATGTTTAGCTCTATAACATTTAAATGCACCTCTCCAATGTCTAAGAGAAAAAAATTAATGAACATTTTTTAATGTATGACCACTGTACAGAAGACTGCCAAATAATAGCGCTTTCTAGCTTGTTTGTCGTTTTGGTAACTACATCAAAATGACCGCTGGGTTGACAAAAATCACGCCATCTGGCGGAAAATCTTGTGACTTTTTCAAATCACGCATCTTTTTCAAATCACGCGAGAATGTGTACAAAGCAACAAAAATGGCGCGGGCTGGTTCGTTTTCAGCTAATGTCGGTGATTTTAAAGTAATTTTGAGTGATAAATAATTTTTTTTGCGATCACTGCACTTGCCCGGCGGGCAAATGCAATGAAATTTGTACTCATCGAGCCCTGCCTGTTCTTTCCCACTCGCCATACCCACACAATTCTCCACAACACTGATTTTTTTCTGCTACACCTGGCTATGCTGCTTCGCTTCTTCTTCTTGTTTACTACTGGTGGTTGGCTTTGGTTGCAGTACTGCCACCTTCTGCTCTGGAGTGTAAACGCTTCGCCTATGAGAAAATGGAGCAGCACATGAACCGAACACAACACACGCGAACCGAACCGAGACAGTCGAACCGAACGGTTCGGAAGGTTTTCATAAACCGTTCCATCCCTACTGTTGGCTAAAGGCATGTTTTAGGGTCTCAATACTTTAGTTAACATTTAATGGACTGCTTAATTAGTTTAGGTTTATTTCCAGAATCGATTATGACGATTAATAGTTTCAGCCCTATCCATATTCTTTATTCTTTTTCTAGCCCCAACATTATTTCCTTTTATTATTTTTTTTCTTTTCCATTCTTATATCCTACCTTACTTCCTTCTTTGTTTCCTTCTTTCCATTCTTGCACCTTCTGGTTGTTCCAGGTTCCATACATGGACCGTATATTAAACTTAAGTGTCATAGTGCTGTACTTATAGAAAATGTTTGAATTGTCAGAGCATATGTCGTCCACATAAATAGCTTTGTGAATCAGACCCCAGGATTCTTTTAAACCTAATATTAGCTACATTAGAAAGCCTGATGTTTCTGTGCTCGCCTCCTGGGATTATATAACCCCGGTGATGATTAGAATGATGCTCATGTAATGATTCTGGAAACTAGAAGTCTGACCAAATTAAATGCGGTCAGACTGACCACATAATTTTGGATCAGAGGTATAATGAAGTTTTTTTCCTCTACTTAAGTCTTTTTTTTTTTTCTGCCTCCACAATGAAGACTCATGCTCACCTTTTCTTCTCCCAAACAGCATTTTATCAGCCTGCACAGCAGCTGCTGAGTGACGTTCAGTCAGGACTTAAAGCTCCTGACCTATTGGCTGCTTCTATTTCAGGCTGTGAAAGCATGAATCACAAATGTTCCTTTTCTCGTTGTTGTCGGTAACCTGTTTAGTATTGTTGGAATAAATTTGTTTTCCTCTCTGTTCATGAAACAGTATTAGCTGTCTGGCTGAGCAGTCTTTGCTTCAGAGATATTCATTGCTTGTTCAATTAAGTGTTAATTTCAGTCTGATTTATGCCATTTTTGCAGAGAGGCGGCATGGTTCTACCATCAAGCCAGCCTCCACGTCACCCTTTCTGGTACCGGGCAGAAACCGAAGTGCTGGCAGCGGGCTAAGCTCTGGGACCATGGCTGGAGTGACAAGCGGAGGACTCCTCGGCCGATCATCCACCGCCGTCTCCGCTGTGACATCATCTTGTTCATCAGCATCCTCCAATCAAAAATTTCAGAAATCAGCCAAAGACAAACAACAAGGTTTTCAGCGAAGACCTGCTCCCACCCAATACAGGACGAGCCAGCCTGAAAAAATGTACGTTTTTCCTTTTGACTTGTGCAGATTATTTAGTATTAGGCCTTGGGCCCTTATTTATTCCATGAGGGCTGTATGACTTTTAGGCACACTTTTAATATTTTGATCTATGTTACAGTCTGTGTTCACTGCATCTGCAACATGTTGTGTAATTAAAGCCTGTGGCTACAGCAGTAGGCTGTGCTCAGTGGTATTTATTTTTTATTTTACCTTTATTTTACCAGGAAGTCCCTTGAGATAAAATCTCTTTTTCGAGGGAGACCTGGCCAAGAGGCAGCAGTACAGTAGACTAAGCCACAACAGGCTAAGTTTTAGTATCACAATGACCGGTCAAAGGAAGGTGACCAAACAACGCCTGTACCCTGAAAAGGCCATCCTAACAAATGAATCTGATTTTAGTGTCTGATGAATGATGCACGGACAGTGTAGCATGAAGCTCATTTAAAACAGCTGGTTACGCAGCTTACAGTCTGAGTAGAGGTGCTGAGCTCGGCGTTCAGCCTTTATATAAAGAAAGGAGAGTTCCAGCTCTTCACCCTCGACAGGAAGCTGTCCTGTGATATTAACAAATGTGTAAATTGATCAATTTAGTTTTAATTAAACCAATGTTTGCTGTGATAAAGGTTTGGTTCACGCTAGGATGTGTTGCTCCTGTTGACAAAGTTCACTGTGCCCTAGGTTAAAAGAAGGGGTGGAATCTGTTTAATCTGACTAAAGATGTAAAGTGCAAAATAAAATAGGGATGCACGATATTGGGATTTTGGCCGAAATCCGATATGCCGATATTTTAAAACTCGTGTAGCCGATAACCGATATCGATACCGATGTTAAAGCTGGACAAAAATAAGTAGTCATTGAAAATAGCAGTTTTGTTATCCATTTCTGACACTTTGAAAAATAATATACTCAAATATATTTTTATATGCTGATATCAAATTGATTTTAAAAAACGCTGTATCGATCTATTTTACTTTTAAAATCTCGTGAAATTTCATCATTCTGTTACAAACTCTTGTGATATTTTGCAAATTCTTGTGAGATTTTGTTAGTAAAATAGATCGATACCGCGTCAATATATATAAAAATATGGCAAAATTTCGTGGATTTTCGGGGGATTTCGTAGCATAACGATGACATATAGCAATATTTCATTAGTAAAAGAGATTGATATGGTGTGTTTAAATGGCAATATAGCAGCATATGAAGATATTGTGATATTTTAATGTATCAATATTTTTTCCCTCGTCTTTAGAAGTTTTTAAGGCTGTAAAAAATAAGTTTTTGAGGAAGAAGTAGTAGTATTTTTTTTTTTAGACTTTAGAAACTCAGAAGCGGATCAAATATCGGCTTAAATATCGGTGGGGTGGCTGATGGCCGATATTCAGTTTTAAGGTCGATACAGGCCGATACCGATAGGGGGCCGATTATATCGTGCATCCCTAAAATAAACCAAAGTTTCATGAACAAACAGAACAACATAAGTAAAGACTAGAGCTGAGGGGGCTGTGGCATGAGTGAGAGAAGGGGAGAGAAATCTTTACAAGGTGATTTGGAAAAGAAAAACTGCCCTGAGTGAAAAATAAAGGTTTATAAAAAGTCAGACGTTTCAGACCTGACAGATGACCTTTAGTTTGCACTTTCAGAGGTAGCTATGGGTTGTTTTGTTAATTTGTTATAAGAATTTATGAACACAGACTTTCAGACTTAGCTATATTGTAAACATGAATGTATGCAAGAAACATGTGAAACACGTGGAGCATGTGGCTCCAATTAGAAATGGTTAGATGTGGGGGGTGGTTTTAACTGTTATTTCCAAAATGTTATATTGGAAGTAGGTTTGCACAGGCACCTGCTAACATTCCTGACAGTTTTTCTCCAGTTTTTATGTTTTTATATGTATATTGAAATTCTATTGTATGGAGAAATATGTCGCGATACAAGTTTTGATTATATCATCCAGCCCTAGTTGATATGTTTAGTTTTGTTATGCATACTGTTTTTGGGAAATGTGATTTTCTTTTCATCAAATGTTATCTATGAGAGCACGCCTGCAACGTCATAATACAGGCATAGACAAATGCATAGACTGTGGTCTAATGTGTCCAGTCAGCAATTACATTCCTGTCACTGACACCTTACTTTTAGAAAATATCCTTTAGAAATAGGGCAGCCTAGAGGTTGGGATAGAGGGTTAAGGAGTTTCACGCAGTTTAGATCTTAGATATTACAAACACAGATATCAATGTATTATTTCATGTAGAGCTCATGTGACCTGACAACTGCATGATGCTTTTCTGCAAGAACGAAGCATCTTTAATGGAGGGTTTAATTAATCATGTACATTTTTGTAGATCCATATAAAGCATCAGCTTATCTCGTCTCCATAAAAGGTTAAGTTTAATTGAAATGAATACATTGGTAATATGAAATGATTTATATTGTTATTCCTCCCACTCTTTTAGTGCCTTTTTCAGTTACTTTTAATGGAAACAGACCAGCAAAACCTTAAAAGGATAATGCCCCCTATGGGGACAATAAGTATAAAGTATGATGCAGAGCTGGAGTTTTGGCCCTCACTGCCCTCTCCGTCCCTGTGATTTTCTCTTCCAGCCTTACCCCCGCTGTTACGGTGGAGAAGATGCATCTAAAGCCGGACTCGTCAGCGAAGCTGGGGCAGGCTCCACCGGCCCCCGCCGCCACCTCATCCTGCTCCTCTGCACCATCCTCTAACACCACTGTGAGCACTGCCGTCATCACGACTTCCATGTCCTCCTCATCATCGTCGTCATCATCATCAGCCCTTAAACCAGGCCTTAACTCTCCCTCCATACCAAAGCCTCCATTGCTGGTTTCTGGTCCAATTCCCAACGGCAAGGGCCTGCCCGCAGACAAGAAGCAAGACAGCAGCAGCAGTAGCAAACGCCACGTTAACAAGAAGGTGTCAGGTCAGTTGGAAGGGGACCAGAGATGAACAATACTTTTTTTAAGCAGCTTGTTTTTTTTTGACTGTAAATAATCATACGATTGGTTTAAAAGCCGCCTATTATTCTTTAATGACCTAACTCTCAGACATTGTTTACCTTTCTTTCAACATTTTTTAAACCAGATCATTTCACGCATGACATCAGTGCATCAGCTGTGTAGCTTAATTATTCATCTTAGAATTACACATCTAACAGAAACCATCTGATTAACCTCCCAAGACAGAAACTTTATGTTGTATACATAACATGTTAGTAGTGACTGAGCTAACATGTTTTTAATCCTGCTTTTTGTGCCTGTAGAGCGTGAGTTCAATCCTGATATCCACTGTGGCGTTTTGGATGCTACAGGTCGGAAACCCTGCACAAGATCCCTAACATGCAAGGTACACACTCTGCTTTCTCCTCAGCAAATGAATCATATCATTAATTCTAAACGGAGCAAAAAGCACGTAGTATTTACCAAAAAGAGACCTGTTGTTTTTTAAAAACTGTGAAGTATCCCTCAGTGTAATAGCTTTGGGCCTCTAAATAAAGGTTTTTAACCTTTATAAGCAACTGATTGAAAACTGAATATCTGCAGCGGTTTTTTTTTAAATAAAATATCTCGGGTCATATATCAAGAAAGAAGGAATCAGCACTTCTCACATAATTGGTCCAAATGAAAGCTGACCTCAGAAGAACATTTTTTATTATGGTTATGAAGACCCACTTAAAATATTTTTTTCAGGTATTTGTACAATAAGAGCTTTAATGAATACAAATATATTTGATAACATAATTAACACTGTTATTTCTTTTCAGTCTAGCTTTAAAAACACTATTAGGTTGGTTTAATCATATTATTTGTGTTTTGTAATTTTGACTGCAGGGTATTATCCATACAGCCTGCAGCCGAAAAAGATCCCAATGGGTTTTTAAACTCTTTGCATTGTGGCTTCTGTTGTTATCTTAGTAAATACAGTAACAAACTTTCAAATTCATATGGCACATCCTGTGAAGACAAAACACCTCCTGGATTGCACTGACCATTCATAAAATCATGAGTGGATACGGCTTTATCTGCAGTCAGTGCATTGGTCCTTTACCAAACAACAGTGTCTTACTGGTAATCATGCTATTTGTGATACTTGGATTTAATTGACACCCCTCATCTTTTCATGCTTTGGATAAGAGATGTTTGGAGATCTTTGTCATTTTTGCAAAGGCTGAAGCTTGTTTATAGAAACCTTTCTTTATGACCACATCAACCCGAGATGCAGATTTTCTGCTGTGCAAGGAGCAGCAGGAGAGGGTGACTTCAGCCCCCTGGACACCTTGTTCCTTTTCTAAAATGTATACAGAATTCAGAAAGGGGGCGGCCACCTCTTGAACTGTTTGGTGGAAGGGGTTTTGGTTTCTGAAATGAAATCTGTCTATTGCTGCATTTTGTACTGGATACAGAACAGAAAATGAAAGACTTGTCCTGATACTTCAATGCAAAACTTGGCACCAATCCTAGGAAATATCTTCGATAGAAATTAATATGACATCAAAATCTGTATATAACAGAGGATCCTTTCTAGTAAAGAGCAAATTATACAATAAATTACACTATTTCAATTTCCTAATTTGGCGAAAATCCAGTATATAGGACATAATTCGGCCCTCATTTAAAAAAAAAAATCAATAATTTTGGCATCACTTCTCTCTTTGGCAAAACATTAGAAGATACTTTGGATTGGTGTTAATATCAGTTTTCCATTGATTCTACTTTTTTTGGAATGGCTTCCCTGTTGTGTATCACTTTGTGCCTTCATTTGCCCGTCAGTTAAGAAGCTTTGATTTTTCATGGTGCAGAGCTGCTCATCTGGAAAGCACTTATATATAAATGATGCCAAAACTGGTAATGAAATCCTACAGTAACGGCAAAGGAAGGTATGAGGAGAAGCAGGGTTTAAATAGACAGGGGATTTAAGGCATAGCTGTTCCCTGTCAACCGTTAACTCTAAACCTGCCCCACTTCACCTGAGAGACTGGATGTCAATATCAGAGAAAACCGACAGGAGTCTATGAAAAGCTTCAACAGCTTTTAAGCCATAATTATTCAAAATGAACAGAAACAAACCCAATCAGTGATCCGTGGGAAAGTTGTTTTTATGATGGCCACTAGCCCACATTTCTGCCATCTTTGTAAATAAGTAGAGAAGTTTGATAACACATATTAGTGAGTTACTGTTTTAATTATATTTCAACATGCCAACAGACACATTCCTTAAGCCATCGGCGGGCCGTGCCTGGACGAAGGAAGCGCTTCGATATATTGCTAGCAGAACACAAGAACAGACCGAGAGAGCGGGAGAGGGATCGAGAACCGCACCAAACCCTTCCCCAGCAAACTGCCCCTCTCAGGGACCCACACCCCTCTCCCCAGCTCCCCCCTAGCCATGATACCCACCCGGTTTCTCATGGCAACGGACCAGCCCCCGATACCACAAAGCCTTTGTTATTGGTGAAGTCCAAATTTCACGGCCCTGGTCTTCCACGGTAAGTGCTGTGCCGCTTTTGGGCAAGTTTTTGTAGCAATTTGTCGTTTTCCAAAATAGGTTGCATGTTTGCCTTATCTTCCCAATCGTGTCTCAATCAGACTGAACAACAGTCATGCTGGAGGCTCCTCGGATCCTTCAGTGGTCCATGAGTCCCTGCACCATCCCCAGTCTACGCCAGATGCTGTATCCAGACCCTCGAGTGATGAAGGAGAGAATGAGGAGCGGGAAGACGGCACAGACAAACTGGACTGTCTCTATTCAGGTTACCACCCTCGACCGGCAGCTGTAAGTGATGTATACCTATAAATCAATAAACATACAAAGGATGACAACATTTGTCCCTCACTTACGCTCTCTTTCTTTTCCAGTACTGTACGTTTGGAAGTCGACTGATCGGGAGGGGCTTTTACTCCTTTGATAGGCGACGGGACAGAGTGCGATGTGCACTAACCACCATGATGGAAAAGCATGTTAACTCTCAGATGTGGAAGTAAGTCTCTTTCCTTTTTTTTTTAGGTTTAGCCACAGGAAATAAATGCAATGTTTCCAGAGTTTAGACAAGTGTACATTTATTTTATCCTTTCCCAGTCAGTATGTTAGGTTAAAAAGGAAAAATATGTATTTTACTGTCGTTTATACGCCCTTGATAAATAAAAGTCTGAGATTCCTGTTAAGCCTAAAGTCTCAAAGCAGAAAAGTGCTTCTTTTTAAGAAACACAAGAGTTAAAGATTTAACAAGGTAGCTGATAAGAAAGCCTTTAAAAATGTCTATACCACATAAAATGTATTATGTTTATTTCTTTAACTCTTCACTATTATTTTATTCTTATACAGTTTTCTAAGGTCCACATTTGTGTAACCATTTATTTTCTATAATGTTTTTGCTGCTGTAAACACCTAAATTGCCCCATTGTGGGGAAAATAAATGGATTTTCTATTCTATTCTAAACCCACACATCTAACGGTTTTGTGGTTAAATTCAAAACTAATAAACTGTATTCCTTCTTTTTTTTCTTTATTTCTTAGGAAAATCCCATTCGCCTTGGAAAATTCCCCTCTTGTAGCCCCCCATAGGACAAGCACAAATTCCCACAGTAGCACCCCTTCATCGGGCTTCCTGAGCCCCCCCGCAGCCTTGCCCCAAACCCCCTATAGCCAATCTAGTGAGAGCAAGGCATCGCTCTCCTATGGGACCACCTTAAACGCTCACAGCTCCCTTCAGGGCGGCCAGGAGCACCCGGCCTTTGGCACCACGCAGGCCAGACAAGTGTCTTCGTTGCCGCAGATGCCTTCAGCCCACTTGTCCTCATCTTTGTCTTCTTCAGCTCCTTCCCTAGCCTCAGGCCGGGCGCTGAAGTCACGTTCATCTGGCAGCAGCGCCACTACCAAATCATCCTCCTCATCCTTCAAGTCCAAGGAAATTTCCTCTGGCTCGTCCACAGCTGCCCTACCAAACTCTACTAGTGGCGGGAGCACTGGAGCGAGCATAAACAGTAGCAGCGCTAGCTTCAGCACGGGGAAGAAGAGGAAGAACGCTTCAGTCCTTTCCTCCTCCCATTGCTCTTCTGAATCCTCTGCTTCTAATGCCAATTTCCCTTCATCATCATCCTCCTCTTTTAAGAAGAACTGTGCAAATGTTGGCAGCTCAGGGAGCACCTACCATCATGGCTCATTAGGACCTTCATCTTCGCTATCCTCCTCCCATAGTGGAGTTCACAGCGTGGGGCTGAACTGTGGCCCTAGTGTGCGGACCAACTCACTCAGTCTCAAGGCAGAGCCTTCTGGAGGCTCAGCAGGTGGCTCCTCTGGGCCCCCGACACGAGGCCCTCCCTCAGGCAGCCCCGCAGAGTCCATAAAGCGTATGAGTGTAGTTATGAACAGCAGTGACTCAACTCTTTCTCTGGGGCCTTTTGTCCACCACCAGCCCGCCTCCTCATCAGACCATCACACCAACTTTAGTCACCACTCCTCAGATGGACGCCTGGAGGCAAAGAAGCGCAAAAGCTCCTCTGCTTCGAGTGGCATCAACAGCGGAGGTGGTAGTCTGGGAAGGGAAGGAGCAGCAGGAGGAACCGGACCAGGCAGAACCAAAATGACAAAGTCCCCGGCTCTTAATAACATCCATGGGAAACATAGTCGAAGCATTCCAGGGACGCCAGGTCTACCCAACAATTCACATTTACATCAGGTTGGTGTTTATTGAGTCATTTCATTTGTTTTGCATAAATAAGCAAAAAGTTTTTTTTTTTTTACAATGCATAAATGATGCCATTAAAAAAGCATGGTCAGAATCAGAACACTTCTTAAATACTTCGATTATAAACTCAATTCTCATGTATTTGTTGGAGAACCTTCTGTTTGCTCGGTAATAAAAATTTTTAGTAGTGATGATGCCACATTTTTATACCATTTAAACATGATTGCATTTTCCGTAATTTTCTGACTATAAGCCGCGACTTTTCCCCCATATTTCTACCTTGAGGCTTAAAAACAATGAGGCTTATCTACAGACTTTTACAGGGTAATACCTAAATCTATGGATTTTATCATCCAACATGTTGACGTCACATTTGCTTCAACACACAAGTACGGTAGCCGCACGCGCGGGAATGCGGAGGTCCTCCGGAAGCAGTCTTCTACCGCGAGTGGTACGAGACAGAACGACAGCGATAAAGACGGACATTAAACATTACAAACCTGCGGCTTATAGTCTGGTGCGGCTAATAGTCCGAAAATTACGGTTATTGTTTTTAGCCACATATTGATTTTACTGGAATTATATGGGAATCACTTATAAAATTGTTGCATACCTGTATGCAAACAGCTCTGCCTCTGGAGGAAGACAACTAAAGCTGGGCGTACACTGAGCGATCTTTTTCCGTCGTTGCACGCAGCTACTGCTCACTCTGTTCGACTGAAACCGCAGGGTTTGGTCGTACAGTGTGAGTTCACAGCTTACGATGTATGTGCAGCACGACGCTCTGATGCACTCTACCTGCTCACACTGTACGACTAAAAACCACGTTGGACTCAGCTCCACAGTGAGATGGAACTACTCTGACTCCTCTCTCCGGAAGCCAAACAAATAGAAGGGGAATATTAAGCTCACTATAGTGAAATGCACTGCCTTGGCAATTTGTGCAATTTTGTGCTGAAAGCCCTAAAAAGAAAAGGTGACGACGTATTTGGAAAAAGACATGGCTGAGCAAACGTGGCTACTACGGTCTGTCAATTTTACAAACAGAACTGCATTTCACTCATTGCACCTCTGCCACGCTCCTGTGTTTACATCTGAGAGGAAGAAGAATCCTTGTTTGCCCAGTGAGCGATTTGCCCATGACAGTCGGGAGAAAATCAAACATGTTTGATCTCACGATTCCTGATCGGGAGGTGGTCATGAGAGGCTGATCGCCCCTCGTATCCCCCTGTTCACTACACAACTCACGATGCACGATCAGGCTAAAAGTCGGTCCGACTGGAAAATCGCACAGTGTACACCGGGCTTAACTTTCCATTTCATGTAATTGATCTCAAGCTACTTTGCCAACAGTGGGTAAACTTTTTCAAGGTGGTTTGATGCAACAAAAAAATAAAATCACAGCTGATAGATGCATGTAGAAAGTCCAACTTAATTTTATAGACTTGCTTCTGAGCAATTGAAGTGTACAGTTTTAACGGCAACACAGTAAATCAACAAGGCAATTAATCAGGCATTAAGAAAAAGACATCAGACATAATTTTTTCCCCACATCAAGTCAGGAAAGTTATTTCAAATCAGCAATGGATAAATCAGCGTTAAAGCTGACTGTTTTCCACAGTGGGAAGGGGGTCAATAGATTTAATCTTGGTTGTGAGTGAAATTGTGTCTGAGGCCTTTTGTTGTTGCAGAAGTTGGTGAATGTAATGCATAAACAGGGTAAAATCTGAAAAATGTTTCATCATGAATATAATCATGCTGTGACATGACAGCACATCGCCTTTGTTACTGTTTCTTACCACACAGGTTCATAATAATTAAGCTAAACATAGGTAAAATGTGTAATAATAATAAAAATAAATAAAAGGATCAGTAATTGCCATTTATAACTATTGTGTTGAGCCGCTCATGTGGTCTGCAGCAGTCTGTAGTCAATCTTTTGTATTTCCAAGCAGTCCTTTTTGGTTTTAGAAACAACATTTAGCCATTATTGTTTTTAACTAAATATCCACGCCCACTCTGTGTTCTTAATGTAACATCCTGGTAAAGTTATTGTTTAACTTAAGGACAAGTCACAATAAGGGGACCTGTACATAGTTGCTGACGAGCATCGACGGTATAAAGGTCATCTAGAAAATATGTTAAACCAAAGAGACCCGTCAGTAGATTGGCTTTTCTGTGAAACTTATTGGCATCTTGTCTTTTGTTTCCTCAGCCAAAAGCTCGTCCCTGACAGCGACTTCCTGCCTCTGCCATGAAAACGGGCGGACAGAGAAAAGTCCAGAGTGGTGTGCAAGCTGTTCTGGACTGCACGAGGCCTTGTGAAATAAAATCCACGTGACTCTCAGCTTCCCACAATCCTCAGGGTGGAGATGATCTGGACTGCTTAGTGAAGTAGACGCTGTCCTTAGTGTTTCTCCCAAAGCCATGTGTGAGTGTGTCTGAAGAGACGTGGATAGGCAGAGGTTCTGAATGCAATGTAGAACCCCCCTCCCCCCAGAATCTGAGAGGTCTTCCCAGCTGTTTAGGAGGTAGAGGGAGCACAGCAAGCCGCTCTCCTCTGAGTAAGTAGAGGAGCGAGTGCGTAAACTGTGCAATGTCATATTCTGCTGGAGTCCGCAACGTAAATACACCCCCCCGAAGCCTTGCAAAGGAGAGCAGGAGAAGAAAAGTGATGACTGTATTACCTATGACATACAGCGGCAGCCCCCCCCCCTTCCGCCGGCGGATAATCTGGTTAGCTCTGTAATCATCCACGATAATTATGCAAGAATAACCTTTTTCTGATTTCTTAGAAGCTTTTTACACTGTCCTATAAAAGGGGGTCTTTGTAGCCTTGAGGAAGATGGTTGTTGTTTTTTTTTATGTGAAAAAGGACACCTGACGTGCCCATTGGATCGATTCCTCCGTTGGAGAGAAAAGCCTGTTCCTGAGGGGACGCCTGTTCAGTTCCTGAATCTATACGTTGTGCAAAAAAAAACACCACTGTAACAGTAGACCTAACCCCCCCCTTCTCCGACTGTGAAAACAGCACTAAATACTTTTCTCCAAATATGCTGCTTAGCTGTCCACAAAGCTCGCCAAAAGCTGCTGCAGCTTTGCAGACTTCTTTTATTTTTAACTTCAGAATAGAAAAGGCATCGAGGGGGGCGGAGTTCCGCTCATGAAGAAGTAACCAGTGCAATGTGGATCAAAAAGAAACTTTTACAAGCTGTATGGTTTTACCCACAACTTAACTACTTTATCTCCACGAAGCTGTGTGAAACCCCTCAGCTGCGTGTGGAAAGATGTGAATTGTAATGTTTTATTTTGGTTTCTTCACACGGAATCAGGTACGGTACGTCTTAACTGGAACAAACTTGCACGTCTGCTCGTCTCCGAGGTTTTAGTTGTCCCTTCCGGTGTCTAACCAATACCACATCTCTGGATGTTACCTTATCAACGCCTCGCTGATAAAGCTGTTCTCTATGGAGTGCCAAAACTGCAAAAAATATATTAAACATTATACATCGAGAAATAATGAAACAAAAAATTCAAATTTATGCAAATCTGCTGAATATGTTTATAGCATTCAATGTGAATTTAATTTAAATTTGAAGTCATGTTTAAAACCATTAGTTTGTGGTTGTTTTGCTGCTGTCCGCCATGACACGCAAACATAGACTGTGACATCTGATTGGTGATCTTTACATCTCCTTCTGACCAATCATTTAAAGACAATATGAGCCACGCCCACTCAGTCAGATGGGTAATACTACAAGATAAAATAAATGCAGCTTTTGACCATGAAATAATTGGTCTGATAAATATTTTTTTAGCTAGTCTATTCAAGGCTTTGGCTAATTGACCATTTATCTTTAGTCATTTTTTGCTATTTTAATTTATTACATTTGGGCACTTTTGGATCTCCATAGAAGGCATTATACTAACACAGGTAGATCTCAATAAAATGGTGCATCTGTTGTTTAATTCAAAAAATGAAACTTATGAATAGACACTGTGATATATATTCTAAAGGTTTATTTCCACTCCCATTTGGAGATTAAGGCTTACAGGCCATTAGAACCTTCTGGGAAGTTTCTCAAATGACTACAAATAATTACACAAGATCAATAAAATTGGGATGTTGCCTTTGAGAAGTATCTCTATGTGAAGCATAGTGCATGCCCTCAATCCCTGCTCTTTCTTAGCATAGATTACTGCTTCAGTGCCACATGGCGGGTAGATCAGCCTGTTGCTCTTCTGAAGTTTGTCATTTTGTTTTAGTAGTGGCCTTCATCTTATCCATGCTCTCTGGTGTCTTATCTTCTTGGAAAAAAATATCCAGAGATTCTGTGTGCGGTTTAGTTTTGTGGTAGACAGCTGCTCCTTTGGACCAACACCAGCAAATCTGACCCCAAATGAACACTTTAAACCTGAGCTCAACTCTTCTACTGTTTGGAACTTTGATTTTCAAATCAAATTCAACATTTACCTTCATTTGAAAAGGAGAACTTTGGATCTTTGAGCCAAATAAGCTGCTTTTCTTTTATGAAATTGCTCAGCTCAAGATATGCACAGGTTAATGTCGTAGAGACGTGTTTGGAGGCCTGATTCTGGTAAAGGCTTGGACGCTTTCTTTGAACAGCCAGTTTCTGCAGTAAAGATGTCTTTTGTAGGGATGGAAACGTGACTTTCTGCTGGACAAGGTCAAGCGATTGTGTTAAAAAGTCCTTTTTTATTGGTCTTATGTAGTAGTTTCAGTTGTTTGAGAACTTTCAGCTGATAATCATTAACCAAACACTTGAAATATACCCCTAAGAATCAGTTTCTCTGTTTAGAATTGCATTATTGAAACAAACTCCGGACGCCCTTATTTTCCAATTATTTTATCAAACCAGTCTTAAGACACGCAGTGCTTGCCCATCGTATCAGAATGTCTGCTTTTTGAATAGTAGTTTTACGGTGCGAGATTCATGGAGATGACTTTGAGAAAATCAGAGCTTTGGTAACCCTTGTTGATTTATATAAAATCCCCTCACTGATGTCAAGTGGAGCCGAAACACTTTATTTTTTAGGAAAGACTCTTTAATTCCTCATTTTATTGTAGCCTATGTATCAAACATGTGTCCCTATTTGAGAATACATATTTTGTTAACAATTGTACATAGTAAAGTATGTATTTTTGCACGGGCATTTTTCCTACAAATGAATTTTTAGTACAATTTTGGAGATTATTTATAAAAATAAAAAGTGTCCGCGGAGATGACTATTTTAAAGTGGTTCACTGCCAAGTCTACAATGCAATACATCTGAATACATCGAAGCATCTCATGAATCGTGTACTCTACCTTTAAGGAGGGACTGGGGGGGAGATATCGCCACTGTAGCATGTGTCTGTATGAAAGTAACCTTTATTCACTTACCAAGGTCTGAATCACATGTGCTTTTACCAGACGCTTTTATGTTGCCTATAGATCAAACTCTGTAACCCTGAAGTTTGAAATGTCATGGCCTGAAGCTGTGCTCGTTTATCCAAATGAAAAAACACTTGAAGACGATCGGGGGGTAAAAAAAAAAAAAAACGCTGTAAGGACTTGGCTACCTGCAAGGAAGAGAGGAACGGTTTGCTTCCTCGCTGCCAATCCATTTAAATCCCAGCTTTTCCAGAATGAGTTCAGCAGCTTCTAGAAATATCAAATCAAGAAAGTGCCTGAATTTGTTTTTCTCCCCGACTGTTTGAAGACAGTATTCGTTGGGTTGTTTTAACCTACTTGAATGTTCAGAGTATTGGAGTTTGGTTCAGTATATCAGCCTGTGAACCCTTAAAAAGCAGAGCTCATCTGCTCAGCAAACAAACCTTAGTTTTCCTTCCACAACACAAACATTTTATTTCATTCAACTGTTGGAGAGTTTCTGTCCGCACTGCAGACCAGGAATGTTAACGTCATAATACAAATCAAGGCTGGGAAAGAGGAAAAAAAAACAACCCACCATTCATTCTTTGTAAAAGCGTGTATAGATTTGTTTTCTGTATACATTATCAGAATCATTTCAGCTGGACTTTACGTATTGGCTGCTATGTAATTCATGAACAAAAAAGCATAGGTTAGAATTAATATTTAAAGAAAAAGATTGTATAGTATATTTGTTTTGTAACAAGTTTGTGTAAATAAAATAATTTATACTGTTATTTATATGAAAAGTTGCTGCTGCCTTGTTTGTCAAAAGAACTTGAAACCGTTTTAGGTAAACAGGTTTATTATATACACAATATAAGCCACTTTGTCAGACAAATAACAGGTTTGGGTAATCAACGGGAAACATCACTGAAATAAAGATGGCCGCCGTAGTTACATGTTAATGACTCTTGATAGCTTCTGCACTCTGTTGAGCAGCAGGTCGCCTTTTTTGATGGTTTCCTGGTACTGCCAGTTTTTGCTATCAGGTCTGCAAAAAAAAACAGTACAAAATGTTAAGTTCATTCTCTGGTTAAAAAAAAAATTTACTCCATTGGTATATTTGGGCATTTAAATGTACAAACGTTACCTATTGGTTTCCACAATCTCGTTAACATTATCAATTTTACAGTGCAGACGTCCGGCAGCTATGAATCGGGATAGCTCCCTGCAGGCAAAAGCAATGACATGAGGATTCAATTGATGTGATGAATGCAGACTGATTATGATACTAATTACCCATAATAAGGTACATTTCTGCTTTACCACGGAGTGTACAGACACTGAATATTGGACATTTGCTGTAAAGATGCAGAACAAAATAAATTCAACTTTTTTAAAGCAGAAGAAAACTTAGGTGCTAGGAGCCCCGCCGATTGGGATGATAAACTACTGCGCCAGGTTCATAAGAATCAAGTTTCAACAGGAGTGACAACTTTATTATCCTTATTTGCTATTATTTTAATTTATTCCTTTTGGTAACAAAGTAGCCAAAAGTAGAAAACAATAATTCTTGAAGGAAAGTACTGACTTCTAAGACAGACTGAACTCTGCAATTTAACAGGATGACATGTCTCAATCCATGTCTTATGTCCTTATCTGATAACAAGTTGAACATATCCAAAAAGAACTGTTATTCTACTTGTAAAAAATGGACGGTTTGGTTAACTGAATGTTCTTAAGGAGGCTAACCTTTTAGCTAATGAGCACAGCTAGCCACAGCGCTACATAGCTCACAAAGGGAAATTCTCTTTTTGATCAGCCAATCATATAATGGAATGTTGCAGACTATGTAATTAGACAATGTCTAATTATGTTTTATCCACTGATGTACTAAAACAAATATCTCCAACATAAGCTGAAGATTCCAACTCACTGGTCAATGAACTCTGTGCTGACACCGAAGGCCTCTGCCATGTATCCCAGCGTAAGGGAGCGGTAGGACTCCAGCAGCTGGCTGTAAGCCTGGATCCTCATCTCCCTTACGTAGTAGCGGTAGTGTGGGGCAAAGAGCCAGTCTTTCTTCATCTCCTGCTCCACCAGAGCTGGAACAAATGATTAACATGAGGAGGAGAAAACAGGACTCCTTAATACAGAATGCCCAGGGTATGACGACACAATCTTATCCAGAGGGATTTTATTTTAAATAATAAAAGACAAACTCACCTAAAGACTGGAAGAACACGGAGTAACGGCACTCGTACAAGGAAAATAGATACTGGCGGACAGAAGGCAGGCTGTGCAGCACTTCCAGAATCTCAGCCCCTTTTATCACCTGCAAGAAAAAAAAAATTACTGGTTTAAAAACTTACAGGATATTTACAGGCATGATCACTTCTTTCACTTTGTTTCCTAACCTTCTCACGGAGGTCGGGCCTTTGCAGGGCAATCATGCAGACGTAAACTGTATAAGTAACAAAGGTCTTGTAGTCCATGAGCTCGTATGAGGTGAAGGTAGAGACGGTGTCGAGGAAGAGCTCTGCAGCCTGCTTGAAGTCCCTGATGGCCACGCAGTAAAGGCCCTGGTACACCTTCAGACGGTTCCTCCTGTCCCAGTCTCCTCCCTCTTCAATGAGACTGCAACCAAACAACAGCTGTTAACACACCGCAAAGTTAACAGCGACACCGAGGGAGGGACGTACCTCTTTGCCTTTTCTGAGTTGCGGGTGATGAGGTCACTGTCCATGTAGAAAAGCCCGATCCTCAGCAGGTAGAAGACTATGTCTAACCTGTGACCAAGAGCCACAGTCTTGTCGTAGGTCTTCCTGAAAGCTGTTAGAGAGCCCTCCTAAAGCAACAGAGGACAAATGGGCGGGGTCATTTCTGATTGTTTACTTACAGGCAAAACATATCTCGCTGTGAAAAGAGGTGAGATAATTAAATGTATAATGTATAAGCTAAGAATGTGAAAGAATAAGCTCTGTCCCGAATACATCTGGGAGGTGGATCTTCAGTCACTGATTCCAGCTCTAGGTCATGCCTTATGAAGCTACTACAAACTGTTGAATGAGTCTCCGTTATGCGGTGGTTCCGACTTTAAACGACTTTCCACTTAACTTTCCATTAATAAAACAGGATAAACATTAGGACGGCCAGCTTCATTATATTTTTGTGTAATTGAACTTTTTTCTCTTCTAAGGTGTTGGTGATTGTTATCTTAACTACTGTACGTCCATATGCTGGTGAAGATTCTTAGCCTTCCAGGTCATAGTCATTCCAAAAACGTAAAAAAACAATCCACTGGACTCTGTTTTGCGAGTTTAAAGACGTTCTGCTTCCCACCCAGGAAGCTTTATAAAGCTTAAAAATTTTCCTGGGTGGGAAGCGAAACATCTTCACACTTGGGAAACAAAGTCCAGTGGATTGTTTTTTTTTTGGGAATACTGTCAGTTGAATCTTATAATCATATAGGTCAGGGGTCTTAAACGTTTTCCAGGCCAAGGATGGCGAGATGGAGCGGGGACCCCCTAACTATATATATTGTATGAAATAGTGTTATATCAAACTGGTCCTATAGTCACTCTATTACTGATGAAGAAATTTAATGAAAGTAATTTCTCTCTGGGATTATTAAAGTATTTCTGATTCCTGGTTGATGGGACAGGTGTTGTGAATGAAACGGTGCCCAGCTTGAAAAAGCTCCTGTGTGTCGCTGAATGTGTGGATTGATGACAAAGACATCTTCTGCCTCCATTTATCTGTTTACTACAGTCTGTTGAATTCATGTTAAATTTTATTTAAATACATTTCAATTAGTGGAAAAAATTAAAGGGGGGAATAAAAAAAAATTTAATCAACCAAAACTTTCACAGCCCCCATGCAGTACCCCCGCACACCCCCTGTTGAAGACCTCCAATGTAGGTCATAACGGGACATTTCTTTATTTAAAATATCCTCTTTATACTTTTTTTGCTACACTAAAACTTGTTTTACTAGCTGAAAGCCGCAATAGTCTAAACAGAAATAACTGCTTAAAATATATCAGTTAGTATTTATACATTAGTTATGCACCTGCAATTACTATTTTAAGTCACACCTTGAAGACAATTTTGTAATATATTGCCACAAATCTGAGGATTTTCTCATGTTCCTTGCTGAATCATCTCACCTTATCTCCAATTCTGATTAAATATTCGGCTTTAGCCATCATGACATCCCGGATCTCACTCTCTCCCAGGTTCTTCTCTGCATCCTCCAGCACATCATCCAGGCGCTTCAGCTCCTCTTCGTTGGCCTTTTTCATTTTGCTCAGCAGGTCAGAGTCTAGCGGCCACTTCAGCTCCTTACACAGGCCCTCATAATAGGGAGCCATATCTGAAACAGACACAACAAGAGTAAGTTGCGCTTTTAGATTTGTAATTGCAGTTTGCACTTCAGGGCCACCGTAGCAAGATGGTTAAAACGGCTTTAAATCATCGATTCAGATGTTAGAGAAGGCTGTGGCGTTGCCTCTCTTATTATTAGACGCACAAATACGTTATATGAACACAAAGTTAACGAGTGAACCCTGTAATTGTTCTTGTTTGTGTTGAACTAGAAACATGAAGCGCAAATTAAAGCTTATTACCGGACGCTAACATTGTTAGCTCACATGCTAATGCTGCTACAAAGCCTTTATTTTCATTTTGTATTTTATCAAACTTAATTCATACACGTTAAAAATAGTCAACTATAACTAAATAACTAATCTGAACGGATTGTTTCAAGATATTTTCAAATGACTCAATGTTATCGTTGAGTTTGAAGAGGCTAACTCACTGTTAGCTTTGATAGCATCCATTAGCTCGGTCTTCACTTTCTCATCGTCTCGGTGGCCTTCCATTGTGAGCAGAAACTTCAGCTGAGCTATCCTCAGATCTGGGTTCTTAGGCAGACCCTCCTCCTCCAGATTTTCCAGTGGCATTTTGACGCTAGATAAAAAAGGCAAACAAATAAACAGAAGGCCCTTTTCGCGTGGATGTAGTCCACTCTTTACAGTTGCCCAGTTATACGACGATGACTACGGAAAACACTGAACGGTGCCGTTTCCGCCAGAGCCGCAGGAAAAAAGGAGCGCAGATTTAATAGTACTGCCCCCTGGCGGATATATATAAAAACAGTTATGTTGAGCTGAATAGGATCAGTTGTTTTCTGTTCAGCTTTGGTTAAAAAAATAATAATAAAATAAATTCACACAAGTTTAATGCTCATAGTTCACCTTTTTTATTTTCTTAAATTTTAAAAACAAAAGTTTACAAAAGCACAGTTGAAACATTTATATCCTTTAGAAGAAACTCCATAAAAAGACTAATTCCTAATATCAAGTCAAACTAATAATTTTCTTTTTTAATTTACATGAGATGGCCAAAATAATTTTCAATTTGTATCACTTCCACAGAGTTCAAAAATTTACATACAGATAGACTGGTCTTCCATAGCTATAGTTATATGGTAAAGCCACTACTTCTTTAAACAAAGGAGTATTATGTTACAATTGCAACTAGTACCTTAATGTTTACAGATGCAAGCTAAAGTTTATTGAGTCCTAACTAAAACTATAGTGTTTGACCCTAGATAGATAGATAGATAGATAGATAGATAGATAGATAGATAGATAGATAGATAGATAGATAGATAGATAGATAGATAGATAGATAGATAAATTCCTGCAGCTTCACATATCTGTTTTATAACCAGAATTCAATTAAAGGTGGTTGTCTTTTTGTATAAAACTCCCAAATCTCATCACTGAAACTGCTACATCCACAATATATATAAATGTACACCTTGCAGATTGTGTTGTCATTTTGGTGCTTTACTTGAGAGCAGATTTTGAAAAACTCATGTCACTGCAAATTGGCAAGTTGATTGCATATTACTTAATTTTTACTTAAAAAGTTAATGATAACCAGCCTAGGGGTTCTAAACCGCTCCATAGAGTCTGATTTAGTGTCCTGCAATGTTAAAGGCAGACACGAGAGAATGGAAACTTTCTATCATCAACTGGTAGGGATTCACAATTAACCGTTTTATGTTTTTTTTTTTATGTCGCAGTGATTTAACCTTCAAACATGTGATTGTTGAAAGGGACAGTTATTGACTTGGATAAAATGTTTGAGTCAAAACCTGGTCAGAAAATGATAAGTTATTATCTGAGTATCTGTTATTCAGCCTTAGATTCTAAAAGCCTTTTCCTTACCAAGTAAATTTAAAATAGCAGCTTGTTGAGATACACAGGCTTATATTTAGCTACTCATTGTTTTATATAGTATATTTTTAGATTGTACTTTTAGCTGAGTCATTGTGGGTTGTCTCTTCCTCCGCTTTTCAAAGCTTTCTCTGGCTTAACTTTAAAATCAATCTAAAACACCAATGTTTTACATTACCTCATTGTGGTTTAGAATTTTATAGATAAGGATATTTTTAAAAGGACATTTATAAGAACTTTCTAAAATCCAATCCAATCCACTTTATTTATATAGCACAGCTTAATTAAACACAAGGTTTCCAAAGTGCTGCACAAAAAGATAAAATAACTAAAATAAATAAAAGTAAATAAAATAAAATAAAAGCACTGCCCGCACAAGATAAAAATATGCATGTGTATACATAAAATCAACATGTGTACATAAAATCAACATGTGTACATGAAATCAATACTCTACATGGTGTTAAAAGCCAAAGAAAAGAGGTGGGTTTTAAGAAGAGTTTTAAAATGACACAGAGAGGTGCCCTGTCTAATGTGCAGCGGCAATCCATTCCAGAGTTTTGGAAAATGTTCTATTTTTAGTTTAGCTCAGGCTTGTGATTCAGTGCAGGATCCATTAACAAGCAAAGACAAAAGTATTGATCATAAAGTTTTTTCAAAACTTTAGAAAACACACACACATATGACAAATGCTCTAAATCAAAGCACTCAATACTGATCGGCCACCATTCAATCAGTTCTGACTTAGTTCTGCCATTAGTACCCGGGATCCAGTTTCCAGTAGCAAGCTCCTCACAAAGCTGTTATACCTCAACAAATGCATGTTAGGAACCATGCATTTGTTTTATTACTTTAGTCCACACTATCAGTCTGTTTTAAACATGTGAAATAAGTTGCATTGTAGTCATCACTGAGACCACATTTTTTCACATTAGTCAAAGTCTGCAGGTTCAGGTTGTTATTTCCTTTAACAACATGTTTTATAAACAGTAAGAAGAAAAACATCATTTGATAACTATATGTTCCTTTACAATACACAATGTTGACTGCCTACTGAATCCTGAATGTTCTCATCCTTCAGTATTGGGTTTTTAGATCAATATTTTTATAATCATGTGGCAAAAAGTGATTAAATCAAAAGTTAAATATGGGTGAGAAAAATTCTGCATCACCTAACATTTGAAAATATCCATCCATCCATCCATCCATCCATCCATCCATCCATCCATCCATCCATCCATCCATCCATCCATCCATCCATTATTGTAACTGCTTATTCCCTAATGGGGTCGCTCTTCTATGAATAGTGGCATGAGTGCAATTGATGTTTGTCATCATTGTTTTGGCCAGACAACCTGTGAAGATTTAGGATTAAATCAGCTACCTACACAGTCTTTGACAGGTCACAAGTTTGGATTCTACCCCAGCATCTTCTTCCCAATACTTATTCTTCATATTTATCCTTAGTGCTTTTGTTTATACATATTCATTAGTTAAAAAGGTTTCTTTTCAGATAGAGTAAATATTTTTTTAAGTACTTTCTGCTTTTAACCCCAACAGATATGAGGAATTCTGTCTTTATTTCAAGATTTCAGAGGTTGTTGCTTAAAATATGATGTTATGTGCAGTCTGAGTTCTTCAGATTGAAACCAATTGGCTGATTAATCGGATCGTGTTGCGTTTAAGATATACATAATTTACAAGATAGTTATGACGTTTGACTGCGGTGCAGTTATGACCTTGCCACAGAAAACAGTAGTATTCAACCTCAAAGATCAGCAGACCTTTATCTAATTTAATAACATGTATTAAGTGGCTAAATAAAACTAAGGGTTAAATTACAAACAAATTCCAAACTAACTTACTTTTCCTCTCACTTTTGAGTATTCAGGAAAAATTCTAGTGAAATAGTTTTTAAAGGAACTAATAGAAATAGAAAAGAAAATAGAAAATAATGAAATTAGCAACAAAAAAAGTTATTCTAGAAAAAATATTGATATTATGTAGGATTTATGAAATTAATTCATTTCCACTTTTTCACCTCAGACTCAAGGCAGTGCCCTGCTGCTCATCATCATTTTGGGCTTTGGAGGAAGCTTTCAGTCTGGTTACCATATAACTGGACTCAGTTCCCCTTCACCAGTGAGAAAGAAAAAGCAATCTATGTTTCTCAGCTTTTTCTTGTTTTTGTTTTGTAATGATTGATGATTATTTCATTAATATCTTCTCTGCAGTACATTCAGCACTTCATCAACAGCACCTGGTATGACAGATACAAAGAGCCTCCAGCTCCACAGAAGGTCACCATGATCTGGTCTCTTATTGTCTCCATGTATGCTGTTGGGGGACTCTTTGGTGCTGTCAGTGTCAAACTCTTCTCGCGGAGACTGGGGAGGTGTGTATGCAGCTTACAAGTTAAATATAAATACAATCTCAGATAAATTCTTTCCTATAAGAAAAAAATTTTCAACACTCTGAGAGGCATGTTTTAAAAACCCATCGACAGTCATGATCTTGGCACTGATGACTATTCATTTCATTCACCTGTCTAACTTATCTGATCCACCTGCTCCTGCCTCTATTTAAGGCGCTCACATCCAGTCATCAGACCCAGATTATTTTGTTCTCTCTAGCCAGTGGTGAGAGCGTTTTTAGCGTTTCTGATTTCCTGATCCTGGCCTGTTCTGCCTCTCAACCACTGAGCCCACCTGTTCCTGTCTGAACGTTATGCCTAAATACTTGGTCCCTCTGTTCTGAGTCATTACATCAACCCTTTCATTTACTACACTTGTCTAATGGAGGCCCAGCCGCATGTTAGCAGAGAAAACCTCCTTTCTAGAGTAATACTTTTGTTCTAAGATTGTTGGCACAAGCAGCAAAAAGGCGGCCAGCCTTTCCCAGTTTTTTTTTGTGAAAAAGAAAAAAGGAAACAGAAAACTCTCACAGCCCGACAGGAATGGCTTGGTCAAATTTAGAGATGAAGAAATAAATATGACCCGAGGAAACTGTCCCAGTTGCTGTTCAACACAGTTATTAATAATAAGCTCTTCACACCTACAGCTGTGGACGCTGAGATCCACACTGGAGTACATTTATTTAATGACTTACACAGAATGAGGCCCAAAGCCTTAAAAACTCAAAACTAGTGATTTGAATCATTATTGTTCTTATCAGTACTTAGAGTTCCTTAGATTATGGTAAATTGAGTTTCCTGCTGTGTTTTATGTTGTTAGAGAAATGTTATTTTCCAGGGAGTTCATGACTTTGGTACAGGGGTAGTTCTGTTCACTCAGGACTGGGCTGGTTTTTAGTAGCTCTTTTGTTTTCTACAATGAAACAAACAAAAAAAAAGAACTGTAGTTTTCCCTGGTATTCAAAGTAGCCTCTTGTCCAGGTTGAAAAACTGCCATATTCACTGTATTCTTATACATTTTTGCATCATGCAAATCTAGCTGAAATACATGTAGCTTAAAAAGTGTGTTAAAAACTGTAGCTATATTTTTCCCTTCCTCAGAAAGCAAGCAATGATCTGCAACAGCTTGATTTCCATTATTGGAGCAGTGATAATGCTGACAAGTAAGGAGGCGAAGTCCTTTGAAATGATCATTGTGGCGAGGACGCTGTATGGATACTCTTCAGGTGAGCTGATTCTAAATCACTTGAGACCCATCTAACGAGTGTGTAGTTTGCACTAGAGGTGTGAACACTACTGATAAACATTGTAACGTGTACCACAGGTTTAGGAGTGAGCCTCCATTTAATGTACCTGGGGGAGATTTCACCCAGGAAGATCAGAGGCCGAGTGACTCTAACTTCAGCCACTTTTACTTCACTTGGTAAACTTTCAGGACAGTTTTTCGGATTAAGGTTTGCATCTTAAGTCAATCTTCATAATCGCTTTATCTTGCACGAAAATGACTGCACTGGACCCAAAGTTAAGCTGCAGCCCCATATTTTGTCTTTCAGTGAGATTCTTGGCGGTCAGGACGTTTGGCACATTCTCCTCTGTGTCCCTGTGTGTTTCTCCGTGGTTCAGGTTTTGGTGCTGCCTTTTCTTCCAGAGGCTCCCAGATATTTATTTATAGAGAAAGGAGATGACATAGCCTGCAAAAGCGGTATGCATTTATTTATTTCATAGACCAAATCTGAAAGTTTTTTTTTTTCATTTTGAATTTCTTGGTAATTTGTTTCTCTGCTCCAGCCCTCCAGAGTTTATGGGGTAACAGTGACTATAAGGAAGAAATGGAAGAGATGTTGATTGAGCACATGGCTCTTGAAGCTTCTCCACCAAAGAGCCCTCTGCAGCTGCTGAAGAACAGGACGGTGCGATGGCAGCTCATCACCATGTTCGTCATTTACTGTTGCAACCAGATGTCAGGCATGACAGCGGTGAGGATGATCTTCATTTCAGACATTTTCTTTTTAAATCGATGAACCTTGAATTCCTCTCAAAGCATTGCCCAGTGTCTCTGGAGGAGCTGCAAAGATTCAGGGTGGAAAAATTTGTTTATACTGTAGGAGAAGTGGAAGTCTTGTCTTACGGGGAGAGAGGCAATAAGAAATGCAGTGCTTAAAAAAATCCCAAAAAGGAATCAGAAAATAAAAATCACCAAACAGAGACCATTTTTCACACACACATAAATTTTTTTTAAAGTTTGTGATTTTTAACCTGTCAAAATGTAAAAAACATTTCAAAATTATTTTGCAAGACACTGTGTTGAATAATCCAACAAGGTTGTTACAAAGGAGACCTATTTGTGGTATCATTATGGTACCTTCCTCCTTCCTAGATCAGCACCTTCTCCTTCTTCCTGAATGCTGGTGTTCCAAGAGACAAGATCCGCTACGTCACTCTTGGTCTCGGAATATCTGAAATCCTCACCTCCATCTCCTGTGTGAGTAAAAAACCCTGTCTTTCCTCCTTCTGACAGAGCAAAACACAGAAACATCTTTTGGATTAGTTTGTCTTTATAATAAGCAAAGTAAACATTGTGGAAACTTTAGAATAAGAGTGTTGTAGCAGCTGCTCTGAGTCTCAGATGTTTCAAAGGAAAAACATGGAAAAGAGAAAATTAGAGTATGAAAAGCACTTGTATTTTTTGATTTTTTTTTGCCTTTTTATTTATTTTTTTGTGTCCTTTCTGCCCTGTTTCCTACCTTCCTTTCTTCATTTTTTTGCATACTTTTTCTGTTTTATCTTTCCTTTCAATGCAGCCCTAATTTGCTTTTATCAGCCCCCCTTTCTTGTCTGTGTCTGCCCTGGTGTTCCTCCATCTTTTAGTCGTTCTTTCCTTATGTGTTTAATTGCTTTAACCTGTTGGGTTCTTCCTTCCTTTGCCCCTTCTAATCTAATTTCTTGTTCTTTCTTCTTTTTTATTTGTCAACATTTTCTTCTTACCCAAATTCCCATCTTCTACAATCTTTCCTCGTATTCTAACTCCATTCCTTTCTCTTGTTCTCCTCCTTTTCTTCTTTTCCACCTTATGTGATTCCATCTTCCATTCATTCTGTCATTTCATTTATTCCTTATTTATCTCAGTCTATCTTTGTCACACCTCATGCCCTTCATTCCAGTCTTCCTGATGTCCTACCCCCATTTCTTCTTGGTATCCTCCCATTAAGTCTTATTGCTAGCAAAACTATGTTGATGTATTGCTGTAGAACTTCAAGAGAACTTTCGCATTTTATACGTTGCCATAAATATAAGTGGATCAGTTATTTCTGGAGTCTGGAAAAGGTTTGGATTTTATTTTAGCAGAATAAGTGTGAAGACTGACTAGTTTTATTTAGATAAATATAAACATATTTTTAAAAAAGTGTTATTGATGTCACTGAATCACAGTCATTTATTTTTTATTCCGCAATGTTTTTGTATAACTTCTTTTCCAACAGAGTCTTGTGATAGAAAATACAGGGAGGAGGCCGTTGTTCTGGGGAGGATATGCTGTCATGTCTGCTATCTGGATGGTGGTAACGGTCATGTTAAACCTAAAGGTAACCATGCAAAGAATGATTAAATATAATATCATAGAACTATTACAGGAATGATTCAAAGGTTTGTTCAACTACAGCAACTACCTGTTGGGTTCACGAGGGGTGCTGGTGCCTAACTCCAGCTGTCTTTGGTGTCCAAAGCTGTCCATCCATCTCATCAAGTTATCATGTTCAGATTGGACTCACTTGATGAGATGACTGGAGTCTGGTGTTCTATTGCTTGGTTTGAAAGAAAACCTGCTGGAACCAGCTTGACACTCCTGCTCTAGAGTAATAAGTAGATGGATTACAAGATGATTCATCTGAATCAGGGTTTTATTGATCACTGCTTAAGATACCTTAATGGGTGCTTTCATTTGCTTTGTAATAAATATTTCTTATCTTCTGTAGAGTCCACTTGGTTAATTTCCCTAAATATATGGCATCAAAGGTAAAGTTTTTGTTCCAATAACGGATTTGGCTGCAGATAATACCTTGTTCCAGTAGGAGGCGTTATCAGGACAGTTCCAAAATGCGGAAACTGACAGCAATGCCCAAACTCAGGGTTCTTGTTTATTGGTTACCTCCTTCTGGGAGTGGTAAAAACACTTAAACAACTTTTCAACGCAAATATTTGGAACTATTAGTAGTGGATGGTGTTTTTCAAATATTGAACCCCTCCTTTTCTATTAATCTGACATTGGCATCTTAATCCAATCTAGTTTTAACATACATCCCTCTTTCTGCATGATAGAGGAAATTCTTGAAATCAGTTTTGACCCTTTTTCTAGCAGTATTTTTATTTAATTATTTCAATGTGGTCTAAGCTGTAAATATTTTTAGAAATCTTGCTGTTCTATATTGAACACTTTTATAATCTGTTTTTAGATTCCTTTGGTTGGAATTCATTTAGTAAGAATGTGAATCAGTTTTTGATTTTTTGTTTAAACTTTAAAGCTACCATCTAATTGAGCTGGCTCCAAATTAGAGTTATGAGCAGTTCAACTTCTGATTTTTATATTATACCAAAGGAGCAGTAATCCTTTTAGAAAGTTTAGCCAGACCTTCCTTTTGAAGTTTTCTGTCCCAAAGAATAGACGCCAGTGGTTTATCTATGGGATATTGCTTCAATGTTGGGTATATTACCAATATTTAAAGGATTTTTACACTTTGTGCACCAAAAAAAAAACAACACATTCTGTTTTCTTTTTTTTTTTTAGAAAGCTTTATAGCTAAGCCTAAGTGTTATCACGTGTCACAATAACTGTCATTTCTGCAGGATTTAAGCTGGGTTCCCTACGCTACTTCTTCTCTTATCTTCCTCTTCATCATCTCCTTTTGTGGAGGACCTGGTATGTGCTCTACAGCCACACCTTAAGACTTCAGCTAATTTAATGAAAATCTGCATGTTCTATAGTTTCTTAAGATATAATTAGAAACCTTTGACCTTTCACAGTTTGTCATGTCACAGCCACAAACTTCGATGTATATATTTAGCTGGACTTAATCCGATAGACCACCACACTGATGTTCAGCATTATGAACTTGGAGGAGAAAAATACATGGTTGTCAACAGATTGTCAACAGATTAAAAGGTTAATAACTTGGTGTGCATTTGTATTGAGCCCCCATGAGTCAGAATTGTTTTCTGATGTATGTCTTCACTGGTTTCACACATTTAGAGACTGAAAATTCTGCCAAATTTTAAAGCAAAGCAGCCCAAGATGAGTTAGATTGGAAAAATATCCTTTGTACGAATAAACTTTCAAGTTTTACCCTACATATCAATTCAGGAGTTTTGATGTCAGTCGCTCTGCTGTAGCTCTGGCTGTATGTGTGTGGTTCTTAAGGGAAGCTGAACTCCAGTCCCAGTTCTGATTCCTTTGCAGTTTCCAGCATGTTTACCTCTGGTATTGGTCATAGCTCACTCCATTTTCCCATCAACTGCAGTGTTTTTATTTTATCTCTGCTTAAAAGGAATCAAATCCACACAGCATAATGCTGCCACCGCCATGTCTCACTATGGAAATGGTGTTCTTAGCAAGATGTTCATTGTTAGTATTTTCATCAAAACTGTCGGCCAACAACTACGAGATCTCGATTGAAAAAAAGCAAAACTTTCTGAATCTCTGGGGTAAAAAGGCAACAAATGAAAATGCATGAAAAAATATTTGCTTTTTCACTGCAACAGTGGATCTCTGTAGCTCCTCAGTTGAGCAGGACATTCAGGACTTAGACGATGCACTGATCAGTGCTCTGTGAGGTGTAAAGTTTATAACATAATACTGACACAACCTTCCCCCTGATCCTTCTGCTGAGTTTCCCTTCATAATGGTTTGTTCACTTATGTTTTCTAACAAACATACAGAGGAAATATGGATTAATCCTGAATACATGCTAAACACAGATAGATTAATTTGACTACTGTAACCCTTGGTGGTTTCATAATAATAAAAAAAAAGGAACCATGTATATTTTTCGTTCTCTTTGAAATGATTTATTAATCCATGGTGATTTACCCCCAAATAATCCCAAATAAAACATACTGATGTTTGTCGGTTTATTGTGAGAGAAACAAGTGAGGTCATTATTTTAGGGGTGCACCAATACACAAACCCACACCAATACATGATTTAAATGATAAATGATCCATCCATGCACAGCAGCATCTTAAAGTAGTTCATGTTTTTTATGTAAATGCCTGCTAGAGATTACAAATCTAATTGAAGTTATTTTGGTTGCTATCTGAGTTAATATCAGTATGGAAAACGTAGATAAACAGATGATGTTTGATCATATTGATAGCAGCATTGTGGATTGAACTGAATTGAACTTCTTTGTGATTATCTCAGTATCATCAATATAACATCTCATCCTGATAAAGGCTGATTTACATCCCTGATAATTTGTGTTTCCTCTCCCCTTCAGGGGCGGCTACAGCTACACTGAGCAGTGAGATCTTCATTCAGTCTGATCGTCTTGCAGCTTTCGTTCTCATGGGGCTGCATCGTTGGTTCCTGTTCGCTGTGATGGGCCTAATTTTTCCATTCATCATTGTGTGTAAAGATATCCTGAACATCCAAACAATGTGTGTTAGAAGCTCAACATGGTTTTAACCAAGATTCTCCACTGTCCACCTTTCTCCCACAGGATGCATTCAGCTCATACTGCTTTCTGCTGTTTGCTGGTGTGTGCGTGCCGGGCAGCCTTTATACCTTCTTCCTCCTGCCTGAGACCAAAGGGAAGACTTTGGTGGACATTTCAGAAGAGTTTAAAGCCATTACGGTCTGTGGGAAATCCTTCTTGGAGGAAGAAAAAGTGGAGACCAAGTTGTAAGCCTGGGGCATCATAGGAGACACTTTAAATTGAAGAAAAATGCAATTTTTATGCAAAACCTTTTTTTTTTTTTAAGATTTAAAGGATGCATTTGGGAATTTTTATCTCATTCAAATTTCATCCTTTTTTCTGTTTAAGTCAATAGATTTTCAAGGATTGTTGAATGCAACTTTTCTACATCCAGTGCTGTACTAAGATGTGTAAAATGCTAATTATTCAAATAAATTATATTCTAACCAACGGCTTCTAGATCAGTGGAGCTGAGCTGTCTTTCATGCAACAAGTGACCAGGTGGAGAAACTATCTCTGTGTCTGTATCATGTTTGTCTCTGAGTGGTCAGTTCACTCCTGCCTCCCCCTTTCTAGTAATAAATCATCCACCGTTGCCTTTGGACTCTGCACTGTGTTGACCAGACACCTGTAAGGACTCAAATGAAAGGAAATCCTCTTTTACAGCTTTGTGATGAAACTCAGAATTCCAGGTCAAAATTCAGTGGTGATGGTTCTATTTACTTTTATATCTTCTTCTTGGCATACCATGCCCATCGTACATCTGCAGTTTTTTTTTTCTGCAGTTGTTTGGCACCAAATCATAAAGGAAATTGTCACCAGAAATTGTAATAAAATGCCTTGGGAAGACTAGGAACCTTTTTCACATTCCGTTATGTAACAAATACACATTTCTGTGTACTTTATAGGGAATTTATGTGACATGGCAACTAAATTACTGCAGAAATGTGAATCAAGTTTAGGTGTGTTTTTTTGTTGTTGTTACAAATAGAAATCTCACATGGCATTTACGTGCAATCTGTCCCACTGAGTCAAACCTGGCAGATCTACCTGTTACTGCAGTTTCAGTTGTAAGTCTTTAAAGGTATATCTCTTTTGGGTTTGCACATTTACAGGCTGATTGGAGGTGGAGCATCTGTGAACAATGCAGATGCTCACTTGGTTTGGGATCAAAATTTGACTGGTTGATTTTAATACAAAAATCTAAGTTTGTCTAAATGATTTATTCTGTTTCTCTGGCTGTATGTCCTGATGGATAACAAACACTCTGCTACGTATTACACTGTTAAAACCTGTAGGCCAAACTTTATGTTTTAATGTCATATAATTAGGACACCTTCTACATTAAAAGGGACAATTTTCTATTCAAAAGTACTGAACTTTTGGTGCTCTTTTTATATTGACTCCTGCTCCTCCAGACTTTAGCTTCATATATGCTACTCTCTTTGCTCAGGGTCTCTGTTTCAGGGAAAATACTTACCTTGGGTTGTAGTTAGGGCATATTCTTCCTCTACTGGGTTAAACAAGTTGTAAGATGTTCAGAGCTCCTCAGAAAACCTGACCCTGATAATCCTGACCTTTCTATTGTGCTGCTTGGTCGTCACCATGCTGTTTATTCACAGGCCTTCACATTACTCCTGACTTTATGCTAAAATGCACACAGGGGGACTCTGTTTACTCACTGGGCGACTTCTCTGTGTTATTTAAGGATACAAGAGGAAATAAAGGACGTGTTTCAGTGCCTGGATTAATTTAAGATCTTAAGTTATGTTTATGGAGCTCATATAAGTATTTGGAGAGATATGAATTGTATAGTTGTATGGTATATATGTGGTTTCTAAATATGCAGTGGAGAAATTTACGAAATGTAAAATATTTTTGCACAGTGACAAACCAAGAGTCATCACTAATTTATATCAAACAACTGATTGATATAATTTACTGTGACTTGAGTCCGAGTTTTGGGATCCTAGAGAAGGTTTCATGATTCATTACAGTAAAATAGGATCCTCTGAAATGAATCCACAGTGTGGGTGTATAATTTTAATTTATATTTCATAGTTTATCCAGCATAACCAGGCATGTTTACAAAAATGCAGTAGAGTAATTTAAAGGTAGATGGCGCCGTTACCTTTCTGCTGAGATTCATCAGGGGATCTAAAGGTGCACTGCAACTCTAAACTGTTTTAATCAGATGGTGTTTTTTGATTTCATGAGGAAATTTGAATCTATTGCTGTCAAGAAAGGTTAATTCCTTGTTTTAAGGTTTTCATTACTCATTCATTTACATTACTGATATTTTAGATGTATTTGTTTTTCTTTGTTATGATCATTTGAAGTTCAGAATTATGGTTCTCTAACAGAGAATAATTAAGCTAAAGCTTTTATTTTGGTCACTGTCTAAACCACGGGTGTCAAACTGGTTCCAGAAAGGGCTGTGTGGCTGCAGGTTTTCTTTCCAACCAAACAATAGCACACCAGACTCCATTCATCTCATTAGGTCATCTTGTTCAGATTGGACTCCTTTGATGAGATGAATGGAGTCTGGTGTGCTACAGGTGCTGGTCATAAAATTAGAATATCATGAAAAAGTAGATTGATTTCAGTAATTCCATTTAAAAAGTGAAACTTGTATATTATATTCATACATTACATACAAACTCATATATTTCAGATGTTTATTTTGTTTAATTTTGATGATTACAAATGACAACAAATGAAAATCTCAAATTCATCATATCAGAAAATTAGAATATTGTGAAAAGGTTCAAAATTGATGGCCCCTGGTGCCACACTCTAATCAGCTAATTAACTCAAACCACCTGCAAAAGCCTTTAAATGGTCTTTCAGTCTAGTTCTATAGGCTACACAATCATGGGGAAGACTGCTGACTTGACAGTTGTCCAAAAGACGACCATCGACACCTTGCACAAGGAGGGCAAGACACAAAAGGTCATCGCTAAAGAGGCTGGCTGTTCACAGAGCTCAGTGTCCAAGCACATTAATAGAGAGGCGAAGGGAAGGAAAAGATGTGGTCGAAAAAAGTGTACAAGCAAGAGAGATAACCGCACCCTGGAGAGGATTGTGAAACAAAACCCATTCAAAAATGTGGGGGAGATTCACAAAGAGTGGACTGCAGCTGGAGTGAGTGCTTCAAGAACCACCACACACAGACGTATGAAAGACATGGGTTTCTGCTGTCGCATTCCTTGTGTCAAGCCACTCTTGAACCACAGACAGCGTCAGAAGCGTCTAAAGAGAAACAGGACTGGACTGCTGGTGAGTGGTCCAAAGTCATGTTCTCTGATGAAAGTAAATTTTGCATTTCCTTTGGAAATCAAGGTCCCAGAGTCTGGAGGAAAAGAAGAGAGGCACTTCATCCACGTTGCTTGAAGTCCAGTGTAAAGTTTCCACAGTCAGTGATGGTTTGGGGTGCCATGTCATCTGCTGGTGTTGGTCCATTGTGTTTTCTGAGGTCCAGGGTCAACGCAGCCACATACCAGGAAGTTTTAGAGCACTTCATGCTTCCTGCAGCTCCAACTTTTTGGAGATGCAGATTTCATTTTCCAACAGGACTTGGCACCTGCACACAGTGCCAAAGCTACCAGTACCTGGTTGAAGGACCATGGTATCCCTGTTCTTAATTGGCCAGCAAACTCTCCTGACCTTAACCCCATAGAAAATCTATGGGGTATTGTGAAGAAGAAGATGCAATACACCAGACCCAACAATTCAGAAGAGCTAAAAGCCACTATTAGAGCAACCTGGGCTATCATAACACCTGAGCAGTGCCACAGACTGATCGACTCCATGCCACGCCGCATTGCTGCAGTAATACAGGCCAAAGGAGGCCCAACTAAATACTGAGTGCTGTACATGCTCATACTTTTCATGTTCATACTTTTCAGTTGGCCAACATTTCTATAAATCCTTTGTTTTTATTGGTCTTCAGTAATATTCTAATTTTCTGATATGATGAATTTGAGATTTTCATTTGTTGTCATTTGTAATCATCAAAATTAAACAAAATAAACATCTGAAATATATGAGTTTGTATGTAATGTATGAATATAATATACAAGTTTCACTTTTTAAATGGAATTACTGAAATCAATCTACTTTTTCATGATATTCTAATTTTATGACCAGCACCTGTATTGTTTGGTTGGAAAGAAAGCCTGCAGCCACATGGCCCTTTCTGGAACCAGTTTTACACCCCTGGTCTAAACTATGCTTACGAACAACTTTGCAAATCAGAGTGAAGCAAATACAGTTAGATGCTGAGGAGATTGAATTATTCTCTCTCTAATACATGAGCTGTCTCTGTGCAGATGTCTTCAATGAATGGGCTTATACACAACACTGCTACGTGTAAGCATGTAAATAAGACGTAATGATGCTGAGCTCACGTGTTTGACAAAAAGGACTCCTGATTGAATTGCTCTGTGAATCTGAAGTTGATCCAAGGGGAAGAGAGCGAGGTGCAGATGTCAAAGGAATTTAGGGGGTCGGTTCAATAGCGGTTTCAGTGTATTTTACAGGCCGACTCACTATGCACATGAACTGTTATCTTAATCATCAAAACAGCATACTTTCCTAAACTGATTATTTAAAGCATCACATCACATGGTGCTTTTAAAAAGCGTCCATAATTATTTATATTTACGTAAAAAAAATACTTACAGTATTTTATGAGGATTTATATGATAAACTGACATAAGCTGTAGAGTGGCAAAAAATGTGCTATTACACAATTCAAACCATGATTTACCTTGAAATTTATGTACATATAAAAAAAAAAAAAAACTCACTCAGAGTTAATTGTCTTATTATTTTTTTCTGTCTTTTTGATCATTATAACCTTTTAGTGACTGGTGTTAAAGCATCTGAAGCAGATTCCAGGTTCACTGCTAGACCCCCTGTAATTTGATGACCGTGCAACATTTAGGCGGATAATGCAGCCATCCTGGGACCACAGTTTATCCTGCAACACTCTGACCACCCGGGGATGTACCTGAACCCAGGTGGTGGACTTCAGCTGGCCTTCAAAATCCTCTACCAGAGGCTGACCCAGATAAAACACTGCTGCCTTTATCCATCAGTGGATCACCAGCTTCCTGGCTGATTTGCCTCTATCCTCATATTCTACTTGGATCTGTTAAAAAAACTAACAAAAACTAAACAGTTCGAGGCTTTAATTGCATTTGGTGTCTATATTTTATAGGAAAAGTATTAATTCAATAACACCATAAAAAGATTGCAGCATAACTAAATGTGAAAAAGAGTAGCGTGAATACTTTCTGGATGCAGTGTATGGTTAGAATAATAAAAAAATAATACTCCCCAAAATTGGTCTTTTATCAAAAATGCCTTAAGAGTTTAAGTGAATCAAATAATGTTTCAGTTTCTTTGTGAACAGAAAAAAGGCGAATAAAGCAGATATTGTCAACTGATTGTTTAAAACCTATACAATACTGATCTCTAGTGGCGAAAGTAGAACTAATGAAGGTACAGTCATGGAACTCCTAATGAAAGTATACTAGCATATCTAACAAAAATGTCTTATTTGAGCAAAGAAATTTTCAAACAAAATGTCCAGGTTGACTTGCTGTCAAATCCAC